AAAGTGATAACCAAACGGCTAACCGAAAAATCCGAAAACCATTCCAACCCTTTGGTGGTAACCGAAACATTTTATCAAATACAACCGTCAAAAACGTCCTCATCGACCCGGTCAAGGAAGGGGCATATACAGACACACAGCACAAAATAAACACACATCATACCCACACATAATTAGTCTTTACCTGCGAGCACGACGAAACCAACGCAACGTGTACACGAGGCACACGCAGTTTCAGAGTGGTTCTAACGCCCCCAGCTACCGATTAATACAGTATTCAGTCTTCGGGGCACGGTCCATACCGAAACACGATGGATCGTAGGTGACATACCTCCCGTTTACGATAATGCTTGCATGAATACATAAGAGGACCGCACTAAGCATCTAGGTATCACACTCTTCAATCGATGAAGCTTTAATACTCTTTGTACCGAAAGCAAAAAAAAGAGTGTAAGTGCACTATGAATGTAACAGCACTATGTAATTCTAAGATTTGAATATAAAAAACAAATTAGAATTCAATCCTAAGAGTTGTAAGAATTATTGAAATGAAGAATAATTCGTAATGTAACCTTCTTAGGTGAATTTCAATGGAAATGAATACCAAACGAAACTTAGACAAATTTCTGTTCAATATTCTTACAAAAAGTTCAGCTTAAAAATTTCTTTAATGTTCAATCATATTCGAAGCAATCTAACCTGCATCAATTGCGTCTAGACAAAAGTATTATTCCAGTTTCCAAATGGACGCTTTGTGAGCAATGTGTCTTTGTATGAATATTTTCTTGTACTGTATCTTGCGACAAATTCGATGTACCAAAAATATCCTGACAGTACGATGCACTTCTTTCCATTCATAGTTTTAATGGTTATTTATATTTATTTCCCAGGCATTGAAATGCAATACAACAATGCTCCTTGTAAGATTTTGTTGAAATAATTGGGTTTCTAGACATAGTATTGACATACATAGTAATCTTTATTTCAGCCTTCGTGTATTCGAAACTGCGATCTACGGGCGCTTCTTCGGTTGTGTACTTGTATTGTACGTGTATTGCTATTTAAGTCATCTAGTATAAAAAGAAAGTTAACAAATCCTTGATGATAATTTCTTATGTTTACGTTTACACATTATAAATGAAACTATTTTGATTTCACATTTAATTTATAGAGTGAAATCACTCTATAAATTAAATGGTCCAGGATGGAAACCCGGGTTAACTATGACAGACATGCTGGCATTGATGGATGTGCGAGTTTCTACTTGTGTCTGTTTTGCACAGGCCGAGCCCCGCATGCGCACACGCACGCTGGACTTTTGGTGCGAGGTGCTACGGAACTCGCACCAATGAGGGTAAAGTATGTCCGTGTGCTCCCGCTGAGCTTTGAAGCCTGCCTAAGTGCGTCAGGATGGGCACACGTCACCTTTCGGCTGACGCATATACTCAACGACCACGAAAGATTTGGTTAGAACCTGAATATGCTTGGATACGAACCGACGACTTAATATCACTTCAGTGGGCTTCAAATGGTGATTTGCACGAGAGTTCGAGTGAACTGAGGATTTGACCTTTCACCATCACTCGCAATAGTAGTAGCCCTGGTGAATAAATCTATTTAAAAGACATTAGTCACCTTCTGCGAAAAGGTCATGATCCAGAAGAAAACCATCGAGTGGGATTAGTAGAAGGCCGATCCTAACTGGAGATGTACACGTCAGGACATCAGAATCGGATTAGCTCTGATATATAAATTGATTTAAAGACAAAACACCACCTGTGGCTTAAGTGACAATAACGTTTAGATCCTTCAAACTACCACCTTTATTAGTTCTCCAACATATAAGATGACTGTCGCTTATCGTATGACTTTGTGGCCAATAGCATAACCAAGCCCTGGTTTATAAAGAACTAGCCAAGGGCGAGTCGGACACGCGCACGAAGGGTTCCGTACTATTATCTGTAAAAATGGCGATTTCGTATGTGGAAAAGTCACTGCTCTACAAATTTCTCTGTAATGACACTACACTTTGTGCTTAAGTTATTTATGTTTATTCCTTGTAATCAAGAGACCCTGATGGTAAAAGAGCCTGAAGTGATTATTTAAATATGATGGTGGCATAATTAAGGCGACCGTGCCTTCGCAACTTTGTTGAGCATCAAATTTTCTCTAAAATTATGCGTTGTTTCAAGAATCTTCAATCAAGAAGAACTTGGTAAGTGTAGTGGTTCTTAACATTCAACTTTAACAAATATATACGTTGATAAAATTTATCTCTGGGCACGAATGTTTGGTGACAATCTATAAACTTTAGTAATCTAAGCTAAGTAAGTAACAGCTTAAATACGGTCATACCCTTCGCACGACAGATCCCGTCATTTGCTTAGTAAACCAGCACTTAAAATGAAATTTAACTGTTTTAATGAAACGTTATCTGGCGGACGTTATCTGTATAATCAGTACGAGGATTTGCATTATGTTGATATTATAGAACATTTTACATTAAAATAAATTTTCAATACATTTTTTTAAAAACCGGGCACTTCGTACTATTAAATATATTAATGAATTTATTATTTTTTTTTCGAATTATTATATTTATTTATACAGAATTTATTATTTAGTTATTGTGTTATTTTCTAAGTTATTGTGGCACTGTTTATTTATCCTAAATAAATTTAAAAAAGTACGATGGCTTTGTTAATAAAACTTAAGTATATACATACATAGGTTGAAACACGTAATATGTACCAAATAAATATACATTTACAGCGATTACCTTTAAATATTTATTCTATATTTTTATACTCTGCATTTGCATTTATTTATCAGTGAATATTACTTTGAGAGAATTTCAGACAAAACATAGAATAACATTGATTGAGCTAGTCTCTGATTCAATCGTTATTTTAAGAATTCAATTGAAATAAAGCAAGTCGTAATTTTATTTTATTTTTTTAATAATTTCTTATTTCTCTTAACCTTTTCTTTTCCGGTGGTAGGGCCACGCAGCAGCCTCCTGTTGTACGAATGGCCAGGCCCGTGCGGATAAGTATCACGACCTCACAGAAGACCAGGGTAAAGTGGAAGTATGACAAATACTTTCGCGTTTCGTCTGGTGAGTGAGGTAGCCGGAGTCCAATTTTCAAAAGGTTATCAACGCATCTGTAACCCTCGGGTGTAGCAGATGTCCATGGGCGGCGGTATTCACTTACCATCAGGTGAACCGTCTGCTCGTTTGGCAACTTTTCACATAAAAAAAAACCTTATCCCCTAAGTGAAGAGGGCAAAATATGTAAATCATGTTGCTAACTGCCTGATTTCTTACGACTAGTCATCTGCCTGACGTCAACCATACTCTGAAACAAATATCCAGACCCGGAAAAGTTATCTGTGAGTCACAAAAATGTTGTCCCGTGTAGGAATCGTACCCAAGTCCCCGCCCCGAGGCCAATTACGTATTTATAATTTTAATAAGTTAATGTAATGTTCCTTTGTTGAATAAATTGTTTTGAATTTGAATAATTTCTTACTTGTTTTGTAATATATTATATATATAATATTCGGTTCGTAATATTCGGATTTAATTCATCCGTCATGTTTTTATTTATAAGTGAAGGATACACGATACTAAACAGAACGCTGTAAAGAAGGGAAAGTACACGAAACGTATATAAAATCCCGCGAAGTCCAATGATAAAGGCTTATTTTGTTTGTAAATCTATTTTTGTCGACATCATACCCCTTCCTTTCTTGTTTTCATTCTGCATAATGAATACTGAGTGTACCAGTTAACTGGAGAAAATATTCTAACACATACATGTATGAATAACAAACAAAGGTTAGGTATTTGAAAGTAGGGCAATGTTGATCCTTCAAATGTGATACAAATTTTGTACACAATTATTGCATTTTGTACTTCCACCGTATATTAACTTGTGTTATTATTTTGCTAAAAAAACGCAAGGTGAAAAATGAGTAATATAATAATAATATTGCGAGTGTAGTAATTGGTTTTAAGTAATGTTTTTAATCATACAATTAGGAAGTTTGTTTCTTTCACGCCATATACTGGGGTTTCACTAATAGTTCGTTAATAAATATTTCATTGATTATTTAAGCAGGCTTTCTTTTAAATATAATTTTTTTTTTAATTAGGCGAACTTTACAATGAAATAAGTTTCTTATAAACGGGCTTTACCAAATCTATCTTAATAGCTAAATGTCGATGAAAGTTATCTTATTTTGAAAAATAACGGTAAAATTCTATCTAATTCGCTATCTTTCGTTTAAGCAAATCAATAGATGAAATCAAAACCGCCAAACGTGAGCTTTAAAATGGTTTATGAATCATTATGAATGAAGAATGATCGTTGATGAAGAATTATGGAAGTTAGACTTACCGGCAAAAAATATTCTTAAGTAATACATATAAAGTTTTACTGTCATCTTCCGCTCGCGTTAAGATTGAACAGTTAGAAACAATTGAAAAAAGGGCACGAACAAGGTACGCAGGTTTATATCTATTTATATCTACTAAAATCAGGAGTCTGTGGCTAAGTAGGTAAGCCATTGGCTTTGTTTCAGGGGCTTGGGTTCGATTTCCACACGGGACTGTAATTTCATGACCCACAGACAATTTTTTCAGATCTGGATGTCTGTTTTCAAGGTCATAAAAACCAAGCCAATACCATTATCAACATGATTCATATTGTGCCGTCCTCACCGAGGGGGACAAGTTTTGGGAAAGGGGAAATTATTAAAAAAATAAAGAAACATGTTTTGCATTGAATCACGTACTTTATTTTGAATAACACTTTTTAATATTGTTCGGCATAAATTTAAAACAATTATATAGGTTCATCAGTTAAATATTATTGTCAAAGGATATTGCAACAAAATACAGACACATGAGCTTTTTTTTTCAATATTTATGAGTGTATTTCCTTGAATCCGAACTGAAATTTGAAGATCTAAGTGGAATTCACGATTAACGCTCAACACCTTTCACGTTTGAAGACTCGCCAGTCTAAAAAACAGTAAGAGTTTTATTACATACATCTTTCATAAGGAGACAATATTCAAAGTCAGGATATCAGGCTCTTAGCTCCGCTGGCCTGAGTGTAAGTATTTATTAGTATAAATCAATGCTATCACCATAATTTTACCTACTAGAAATAATGCAGTGTGATAGACTAGCAGAAAAGTACAAATCTCGTTGAGCTACCTCACAAGTAAGCCCTGTCTCAGACCTGTAGTCTGGGGCTCACAGAATAGGCCTAAGATATCCCCTGCCATGAAACGGATTGGCAGCAGCACGAAGTGTTCTCGAGCTACTGCAAGATGGCGAGGGAGGCGTGCGCACGCGCAGTACCACGGAACACCGGAGCGTTCTGTAGGAAATCCCGGAGTCCCTCCAAAAGCACAAAAGATGACCGCCGAGGAGATTTTAGCCGCACATAACCCAATCTTTCGAAGATTTCCCTACCGAAACCAAAAAAAAAAGCCCTGTATTTGCCTGTGATAAAGCAAGCGGTGTATGCAAGAGTAAAGTAAATAAAATAATAGCCTATGCATGTCCTCCTCTGTGTCAGAGGGTATGAGAGCATAGTCTACCACGCGGCTCCACTGCATATTGGCGGGCTTCACATATCTTCAAAATATTTTTTTTTATTATTTCGAAAATGTGCAGGTTTTCTTACGACGTTTTCCTTCACCGCTGAGCACGTGATGGGTCAGCACTTAAAATTAACAATTTCCAAGGACAAACTGAGGATCGAACTAAGGTTGCTCGAGTACATTGAGTTGAAGGCGAACGCCCGATACTGAGCTATTAGTAAATTCATTTTACATTAGCACTAAGCATTAAGTAAATTATTATGTGAATGTAAAATATACTCATGAGTATAAATTGCCACCGGACATCTCATCTAACAGTATCAGGTCATATATATAAATAAGTTAAAATAAAAGCTGGTCTAGTGCGAGTCAGACTCACGCACGAAGGGTTCCGTACCATTATCTATAAAAAACCTTGAAACCTTGAAACGTAAAAATGTGTACATCGCTGCTTGAAATGTTTGGATACTTACTTCGCCAAGTATTACAATTCTCGTACTGCATTTCGCAGTAATTATTGAATATTTTGAAATCGTCATTGTAATTTCTTGCGCAAATAACTTGATATCTGTAACGTATAACTTTTTATATATATATAGTAAATAAATGTGTCGTTTGTTGTGGAGTTCTAAGGGGGAGGCCAATGTTCAACAGTGGACGTCATGCGGCTGATTATGATGAAAAAAAAAAATTTAAAACTAATTTACACTACTTCATTGATAAACCTCATAATAAGAAATTCATAATAAGAACAGAAACTTTTAGTACTTTTATCCTTTTTCTTTGTACTGTGGTACGTGCATAATTCAATCCGATCCTAGGTATAATAAAAGCCTTAAATTAATTATAGACTCACTTATAACTAGGTGGGCAGTCGTCAAGGAAATTCCTGCATCCTTTAACAAAGAAATCTGTCGCCCAGAACAGCGTATCTTTTGGGTACTTGATTACTGGCCTTCGGTACTTTGATAACGTAGGAATTACCAACAGGGTAAGACATAATGCAACTGTGAAGTTTAACGCAAATTTGTTTAAATTAGTCTAAATAGGATAGAAACATAGAATTAAAGTATATTGGCATTAGGTAAAACCACCACAGATGTCATATAGTGGTTTACTAGTACCTAAAAAGCGCAGCAGTAACGTCTAGTTCTATCATTTCAGCTGACTTTTTAATTTTCGGGCCATCGCATTGTAGGATGACCTACTACTAGATGGAGTGATAACCTGTGCCAATTTGACGGAAGTCGATGGTTCAAGTGGCTCAGGACCGTGGTTCGTGGCAGTCTGTCTGGGAAGCCTATATTCACGCTGAAATGACCATGATGATTATAGCCTGTCAATCTTCCCGCAACAATCATAATATTTAAAGTCCAAAATACGAACTTATTGGTGCATCTTTCTTGACTTAATATTGACACTCGAATTACCCTGCCGTAATCTTGCATAATGATAGATTCTAGATCCATTTCTAAATTCCGATTTCCGAATAGAACATTTATTTGTATGCATGTTACATATATAATGTATAAAAATATATAAAGTATTGCGCTGGAACGGATCTAGTTTCAAAAAGGAAATTGACGGACCCAGGAGATTGGCAAGACCGCACTGCGCATCATATTTATGTCTCATCTCTTATTCCGAATGGAAAATTGGAAAAATGCGAAGATTTTCTAGTTCTCTGATAGCATACATTAATAAAATCGTAAGCGATAAATGATTTAATGCACATACAAACTAGTGAAAACCGACTTTACTAGAATTCCTACTTGTATTGAATTTCGCTATCACGTTAGTACTATCCTCTTTTACTAATTTCTAATAGAGTTCAATTCGAATACCATTTAAATATCTTATTAAATCATAAAAAATGAAGTTTAGGTTAAATTCTAATGTACATTTTTTATTGCGTTATATCATAAAAAATTACGCACCCGTTATGTGCTTACACATTGCTTCAATTTTAGGACTGGAGTATATTTTCAATAGCCTTGGATATAAAAATAACGCTTTGTAATAAATTCAAACAGAAATCGTGAACCATTGGCATATTTGTGTTGATATCACTTGAGTAAAAGTCGAACTGAAATATTTAAATCTAGAATTAGATTTAAGTATTTCAGAATGTAAATTATTTTATAAAATATACTAGGAAAAATATAAACATACAGATAACTCAAATGTAGCAATCAAATATTACTAAATGTCTGTTGTATGGGAGCCCCACTTAAATATTTTTATTCTGTTTTTTTTTTTTATTATTTGTTGTTATAGCGGCAACAGAAATACATCATCTGTGGAAATTTCAACTGTCTAACTATCATAGTTTATGAGATGAAGCCTTGACAGACAGACAGTCAGACAGTCAGACAGACAGAGAGCGGAGTCTTAGTAATAGGTTAAAACCTTTGGATGCGGAACCCTAAAAAGAAGTCAGTTTATTTTATTTCTTACTTAAGCTCACCACTCACCCATAATTGCCATTGTGTGGACAAAACTAGGTCAAGTCGGCCTTGCAATGACTACACATTGGTACTATTTATGTATTTCCATAATCTAAACATCAGGATACACTTTTGCAAATTGAATTTTTATGCTTTCGTTGATAATCATAATCAAAAATACATTTCAAAGTTTTTTTTTTTTAATTCTACCATCGTTCCGTTATGAGGTTCCTCTAACGGAGAAGAAAGAGGTGAAAGAAACTTCGTAGGTAAAATGAAAAACATAGGATTCAATATTTTTTTTTTTTCCCTCAAAATATTAAAATATCATACTACAATTTATTTTCTTTTAGAAATAACTTAGGAGTGATCAACTCATTTCCAGGTGTTATTATCAGTAATGTTTTCATTTAAATTATATTAACCCTTTTAATAAAGAAAAAAAAAAAACTTTAATATGGATGTTGTTCGCATGTACTTCTATATCACTACTTTTCTAGTCTATTTGTCTTGGTAATAAGATTTGTACACAAATTTCAAAATGTTTACTTATTGGATTGATGCATTTTTGTTGGCTCGCTGTGGTTATACAAAAATTCGATCCACACGCTTGTGGTTTTATAGCATGGTATGAAAGCGCCATTGTTAAATGGAAAATACTTTGTTAAAAATACTTTGCCTTTGTTATGATATTGATATATTTGCATGCTAAATCTAATTATAAGAACCAAATAGTTTCCAAATGAAATAAGTTAACCTTTACTTTTTAATGATTACGTATTTTTGTATTCTTGAAGTGTTTCTTTTTTTTATCTCTGTGCAATATATTATTTGTATTTTTTTATTGTAACGTATCTAGTAGCTTCCATTAAAATAATATCGTGTTTAATACGTCTTACGTCTTACGTCGTTATCGGCTGCAATTTTATTACTACTTTTATATAACTATTTCAGCTGTTTGTTATCCCCAATAAAATAAAATACTAATTCATATTATGACTACTTTTGCCAAAAGTATGACATATTCATTGTTACCCTTTTAAAATATTATACTTTTATAAAAATAATATATCCTGCCTCATGAATATATTTGTTAATACATTCATATTATTTATGTAACTTACAAAGTAAAACTCTCGCATAATAAAAAACTAAAACATGAAGTGGAAATCAAAAAATAATCATTCATATTTAACACTAGCTGTGCTCACGACATATTCCGTGTGGAATTATATAAATAAAATTTCTATAATAAAAGTACCAAGTTACTCCTTATTAAATCAGCTATCGCCAGTGAAAGTCCCGTAAAAATTGTTCTAACTATTTCACAAATTAGCCGGAATAAAGAGACAAACAGACACATAACAATTGTAAGAAAATATTTTGGTTGTACAACGACTACGTCCATATGTATATAGTGAAAAGCGTTTACTTTAACATTACAAACAGACACTCCTATTTTATTTATCTGTGATATAGATAAAGTAGAGGAAATGTCCAAATATAAAATCACTGTTGTAAGGTTCCAAATTATTTCAAATTTCAATGTTTAATAAGTCATATATATCATAAAAAGTATTTTTTTTTATTTACACTAAAATGTTTTATGACCTCATCATTATTAGTACTTGGAGGACCGAATTAAGTAAAAAAGAAACAAAATTTGTAACATCCTATACAACTCGCGCCACAGCGCTTGTGCGATGCTTTGTGACCTTTACAAATGAACTTTACGTTACAGTTTTATACGTAAGGGTGTTCTAAAATTCTTTGTTTTGGAAAATTTAATAACTCTGTAAATATTGATGTTTAAAGAATGTAAATGTTTAATACAATTTTAAAAAGTTATCCCCCTATATGTGTGTTGATTTATTGTCAGTGTTATTGATTTGATTGTAAAGACACGCTGTATATATATGTTGAACCACCAGCTCGCTTGCCAAAATCAAAAAGAAAGGAAGCCTGTGTATAAAAATTTATATGTTGAGTGTGCGAAAAAGAAAACAAATTTAAGCAACCATTTGGTGTTTAAATACAGTACTTGAGAGACTTATAAATTTTGTGGGCAAGGTAGAAGGAAACTGACACAATTTTAGTGTTTCCTTGTGAAATGAACGTCAAATATCATCAAGAAATATTTAAAGGTAACTCTTCAGATTTATAGATTAACTAGCTGACCCGGCAAACGTTGCCATATAAATTATTTGTAGGGTAGAAAAAAATGTTTGGATTGGACCACCCTTACTTAACATTTAGAGGGATGAATAATAGTTGTAGTCCGATTCTCCACCCTGGCCGAGATGCACACAAAATTTCACGAAAATCGTTTGAATCGTTGAAAATCGTTTAATCACGAAGATCGGAGGAGTTCAATTATAAACACCGTGTCACGAGAATTGTATATATTAGATGTTAAGAAAATAACTATTATAAGAAAAAAATATTAAAATAATTTTTAGAACAGATTTTTTGTACTGGTACTTGTTACTTAAGAATTTTGAAGAAAGGGTTTATTTTTCACTTGGGTGAGTTATTAGTAGTGAAATTTAGTCTACACTGTTGGTTTAGCAAAGTAATACTCGCCATACTAGGTAATTTCGTAAAAGCTTTTTAATGGTTAGTTCAGTATAATTCGAATGTAAGTTTGTTTTATAAATTTGTATGTAACCCAGTTTCTTGAAGCGGAGTGTGGATATAAACAAACTAATTTGTGCAACAAAGAATTTGGTTAGAATTTTCTTTCATGTCGCATCTCAAATGGTATTTTAAAGTCTTATTTTCTTTCATGTCTCAAGCCAATTTAAAAGTCCTATTTAGTTTCTAAGTAAATAATGTTTTATCTTTATATGAGTGTTATAGCCGTGAAACTAGTAACGGATAGAATTATACAGTAAGTGAAAACACAGATATAATATTAACGCCATGGTATGCAATCCCTGTTATTAGAAAGAGGTGATAATTAAGTTTATATACTACACTATTATTAACTGTACGAATTGTGCGTGACTGTCGTCAAATACCACTCTTTCTTATCGCCTGAACAGGGCGCGAAATAATACATAGATATATAATTATATATTAAACATAGATATACAGCATATAAATTATAACATATATAGCATATATATAACACATATAGCGTATATATAACATAACGTACTCATTAGCGCTACAGTAGAACTTTCAAACCATTCCAATCATGTTAAAATTTATTATTTATATGCTCTACCAGGAGGTACAGCGCAGGGCCCAGTTAACTTGGAATGAGTACTGGAGCTATAAAGAAATATTTAAGAGCAACATGCCAATTAAACTGAAGACTAAGGTTATGAATTCTTGCCTATTACCATGTCTGATCTATGCTTGTCAAACATGGAAGTTTAACAAAAATATTATGAATAAAATTATAACGTGCAGAGGGGTTTTTACTGAATAATTTTAACTATTAACACTGTAATATTAACGTATCTAAAAATAATTTTATAAAACTGTAACTACTAATTGATAAAATAACAAACTACCAGTTCTCTTGATACTAACAAACTAACTTTTCAAACTAATATTTACTGGAAGAAATAAAAGGCTTTTTTATTTTTATTTAATTTAATTTTTATTTATTTATTTATTTTGCAAATATTCGACTTCACATTTTTACTGGAAGCTTTCGTTGGATTTTTTACACTTTGTGAATCCATGTCAGGTAATCTATGCAAGTCTGTAGGTAAGTATAGTAAGTAAACCTCCTCGTCGATCCATCCAGGCTTCGAATACCGACAGGAAAGCTTCAACAACGCATTTGTGCGCTTAACGCTCTTCACAGAGCCGAGAGGGCCATCTCTAATGCGTTCTGCCGTTCCCACTGTTTAATTAATTAACACTACTCATGAAGCCCATTTTAAGTATCCTCGGTATTTTTGCGCAGATGCACGAATACTTCGTTGGGGTTCAGTTATTTCTAGGGATATAATCAATTCGAAATTCAGTCGTTAGTTTTTATAATCACCTAAACAAAAATTACATATTATCTAATAAACCTAATCCACGCGGCATGGTGCCAAGAAAGCTAGCTGCATTTCCTCGCAAAAAAAAAACAACTAAACTAGGATGACCAAGTATTAGCAAAGCGAACGTTTAGAAAGATAAATAGTTCTTAATGTTAGAGGTTAGGTAGGTTAGGTTACATTGGTTAGATTTTCTAGATTTGATTATATTAGATTTAGTATTATTATAAACTTTTGAGTGCTAATAGAGTTTTTTGAAATCGGTTCTTTTTTTTCTTAATAAGCTTTTTATTTAGATAACTCAACAACCAGACTTTGTCAATGAACGGTAATTTAAGACTGACGAAGAAAATGCAAGTGAAATCTTAACTGGAGGGTGGAAACCTCGAGTGTATAACATTACACTCTCGATGTGGAATAAATAATAATGTATAATATAACTTTGTGTGTTTGTTTTAGCGATAGACCGCCTTTAAAAAGTTAATTTTATATATAATACTTCTTTTTGTGTTTGTGAAACCTTATTCAAAACGTATGTTCAAAACATCTTATTATGTTGCTTTAAATTCTGTTATAACGTAATTAATTAATAAGATGTACTTAAAACGTGACAGGGCAACGTTTTAGGATTCATTAAGTATAATTAAACTATTATTATTAAATGAAAATTACAGATATCGATTTTGAGTTAGGATGCTGTTCCAGTACATCCTGTTCGAGTGGGATGATAAGCATATTTGGGGTCCCAATAGCAGCATCTTTAAAATTTAGCAAATGACAAGTAACACCGTAGGAAAACAGCCAGTCGAGCGCAACTTGAATATCATCCGGATCGTATTATCGTTGTTCCACCGCTTGGTTCTAGAACATTTAAATAGCGAAACAGATCAGAGCTCTTGACATTGATCGTTGAAACATCAGCGTCTACGCATTTAAATTTAGAACTTGTTTTAATTTTTTTTTTTTCATTGTTAATTATCTTTTCTAGGCTTAGTTCGTTTCTAGTAGTTCGATGCAGTGTTTTTAATTTTCGATGCGTTTGTGATTTTTTTCCTAAAACAACGAGGTGAGATTTTTTTCATATAAATAATACCGTAAGAAATATTAAATGAGTAAAATAAGTTATTTTACGTCACATTTAATTGTTTAATCGAATAATTGCCAAAAACTTGCATCACTGAAAGAAGAGTACACAACTCAATAGAGTTTTCTTGTAAACAATATACACAAAAGATGTAATAACAGATTGAAAATTACATAATTGTATTCATTTATTACTTTTTATTACATATTAATTTTTATAATACAGTATTTAATTTCATCGAGAGCTTTTCTGTGCTGGGCATGGATCAAAGCCGCTTAATTCTTTTATTTGAAATATAAGAACTTTTTATACCCTAAACCTACAGGTAAATATAAATCGCTATGTGCAATTAATATTTTCATAAAATATTTTCATTTATAATTTTACCAATACGAACTTTTAAGTACGATTACCTTTAAAGTAAGCACTCACAAGGAGTAATAATATATTTATTCCGTTTTCAGTGGTACAATAATCTTATTCAATAATCGGGCTATACTTAATTCAATTACTGTTTTTAAACCATTAAACTATGCCAAGTGAATTATGTAATTGGGGCCTACTATTGTTAAGGCTTGACAATGCATTTGCAACCTCTGCGCTTATTCAGTTAAAAGCCTTATACTCTTAACTTAAACGTTAGCAACGTTAATAATATATTTTTATAACCACTACCTGCGTTAGAAATCGCAGTATTAGATGATCGGCCTTAGCAACTATAATTGTTAATTTTAATAACATCGCGCTGGATGGAACGACGTTAGTAGGCCTTATACATATTTATTCTAAAGTATCAACAAGAAATCATTATATCAACATGTATTTAAAATCATTATATATGTCAGTATAGTTATATAATGATTTTAATACTTGGTAAAAGTTTTCATGATCTGTTTTTTTTGTGCCACATTTTTCTCTACTAAGCCAATGTCCATTATTTTTCAATAAAAACATTATTTTATATTTCATTCATCTATTCAGTTCAAATTTCAAAAACATACGAACAAAATTATGATCGTTTTTATATTTATGTATTTATTATATCACAGTATAAAGGTAAATAAAGAATGCCTGTTCGGATTTTTAATAATGTTGTACTAATTGCATTTACTTTGTTTTTGAGGCCACAGGTTTAATAAGGAGTGAGATAAGCCGTAGACGTTATTCGAGTATTAAAGTTTATTATTGATAGTTTCATGTAGTTCTTGGCTAACGACCCAAGTTTTGAACTAAAACTGGAAACTGGTTCATACTTTTAATTAAACTGAAAAGGAAACTACTGAGCTTCTCATATCACATAAACATATTAAAATAGCTTTAGTATACAAAACAAAACACAAAATTAATTTTAGTACAACACAAGTTATAAATTTATTTCTGCAGAACACTAATAGTTATAGGTTGTAATAAAACAGTTTTATAAATAATATTTTCGAAGTATAAAAGTAAAGTAATCTGTTTTAGTTATTTTAAATATTTACAATACATAAAGTTTCACAAAATGTTTAAAGTTGCATATCTTTAAAGTGATAGGAAATCTTGAATCGATTTTGTCATTTTAACATTTGTTATTATTTTAAAATAGTTTATTATTGCCTTAGGCAGTAATATACTATTTATACAAAAGTTTTTTTACTATACATTTTGTGATGGTTAAGTAACTATCTGTGGTAGAAAAGCAGCAGTTTTTTTTTGTTGCACGAATGGGCAGCGTTGTCCAAGCAAGTAGCTGGGCCCCACAAGGCCACACAAGGCTGGCATGAATTGGGTGATGGTAAACACAAAATAAAGCTTACCAATTAATCATCTTAAAACATAAAAGTCCCAGATAAAACTATTTAATATTTAATCATTAATTAAAATAAAAAAGAAAGTAAACACGAAGATAGGATAGATAAAGTTTCAATTGGTTTTCAGGTAACACTCCGAGCATAATGTACTGCTCTCAATCAAGGATACTGCAAACTTTATTACTATTCATAATGTTAACAATCCATTTAGCGATAAGTGTTGAAGATGGATATTTGCGACACGTTAAAGACGGTTGTTATATAAAAGGAGAGGCATTGTCCTGTGTGAAGTATAGAGCTTTGAAAATCGCTAAGAATACTTTCTTCGGCGATCTATATGCAAATGCGACAATCAGGGCGAGCGAAATGATAAGCTTTGTGCCTCTAGACGAGGAATCAATAAAAGACGCATCTAAGTACGAGGATAAAGAATTGACGATGAAGGAACCAAGAAGCTATCTGTCCGAATGGTCCGAGCTTACGAAGTATTTAATGAAGTTGGTTAAAGAATTCTTCAAAACGAAAGGGCTGAAAGTCGATCTACCTGAAGGCGCTCGCACCATCGAGGAGCCCCAAGATGACGATGGTGAGAATTTGATTTTAAATTTGCTGTTTTGAAAAAAATTTATTTTAAAAGAACAAAATTGACAGTTACAAATTAATAATAGTCTTTAACATTTATTTTATGTTCAAAATTGTGTATATTCATACCTTCAATTGTTGTTTATACTTAATCTTTAAGAAGTATTCTGGAGAGCAACTATACGGAATTCATATAATTGAAATTTAATATCAAGATGTTTCAAAAATAAGATAATTTTGTAAAAAGATAGAAAATGTCTTAAAGAACGGAGCCGCATTAAATTTTAAATGTAGTATAATACTATAAATAAAAGTGAGAGTAGAATCCTGTGCTTATAGCACCGTTGTAAAATTGAACAAAAATATCACTGCTCACTTGATTGACGAATAAATTTATCGCTGTGAGTGAGTTGATTCCACCCCTAAAGTAATCAGACGTTGAGCCAGCTGTTTCAAGATTAAACGGTTCATTGACATTCAAAGTTGTTCAGATACGGTTAATCTTCCATCGGTCTTTGTTAAAATCTGCGGGCGGTACGTTATCGACTTCGGCCGTGTTTACATTACTAATTGCCTTTCAATATGAATTTCGGTTATCACTGTCAGTATAGATGTAGTTACTATCAATGGAAATGTTTTGACCGCTGACCAAGATAACAGCTGTTTTCCGATAGTAAGAGTCGTTGAGAAAGCACAATCATACATGACTAACTCAGTATTAATTACATTTAGAAAGTTTTCGAAACAATTTTGTTTGGTAAAGCTTTGAATGAAATGAAATTAATCTTTATTCTGATAGTTGTACGCTTTGATCATGTCATCGGGTCTATTTGAGTTACTGGATTATTATGAAATTTGAAATGAACTAATTATTATCATGAGGATTACTAAAGTACATTTTGATAGTTTTTTTTTTTTTTTTATGCGAAAAGTTATCAAACGAGCAGACGGTTCACCCGATGTTAAGTGAATTCCGCCGCCCATGGACATCTGCCACACCCGAGGGTTACAGATGCGTTGACAACCTTTTGAAAATTGGGCTCCGGCTACCTCACTCACCAGACACTTTACGCTGGTCTTCTGTGAGGTCGTGGTACTTACCCGGACGGGCCTGCCCATCGTGCCACAGCTGAGGCTGCTGCGTGGCCCTACCACCGTTAGTGATAGTTCAATTTAACTCTAAAAGCTTTGACTATTCAGTCTTTCAGTCTTTCAGTCATTCAATCATTCAGAATTTCTTAAGTAATATACGTAAATCATACTTTGAAATTATTAAACTATGAACATTCCAACAACGAACTACGTTTTTTACGAGCACGTCCTAAGGAGAATATTAAATTTTTTTTATTGTCTTTTATCTATAAGTTACAAGAAACATTTTAATATTTAACATGAATGTCGTGAAAGTCCATTACTATGAGATCTTATACCCAATTTATATCATTAATGTTAGATGTGCCAATTAATTAACCTACAAAGACTGAGATACCATAATATCTTTTAATTAATATAATGAAGATTAATTCATTTGAAGATAATTATTTGTGTAAGTAATTAACATCCACCACCAAACATTTACGGACACAAGAACATGAGCATCAATCTAAATGAATAATTAATGCTTAGAGTATTACGAGAAATGCTTCGCTAGTTTCATCGTTTACTTATACGTGAAATACTTTTACATGAAAAAACCAACACCAAACCGAGTATGCTGAGTGTCAGGAAATAGTTCACCATACGACCTATTTGTTAACCAGTAGGCTTCACATATCTTCGAAATATTTCGTGTTATTATTTTGAAAATATGCAGATTTCCTCACGATGCTTTCCTTGAGCACGTGATAAGTCAGCACTTAACACTGGGATGTGAACTTAGGTTACACGAGTATACCAAATTAAAAACGAGCGCCTGGACACTGAGCTATCACGCTATATTTTGTAATCAGTGCAATTTATTTGTCTGTTTTATCGAAAACGTTTGTTTGCAATAAAATACGTGAGCAAAATAAAGTGGATTTGCATGTAAATCTAACTCACCCGGGGCGATTAGAACGGACGGTGATTTTCCCTGAAGAAAAAAAAATCCCCGACCTTATTTTCTATTTTTTAAACTTTTTTTTGCTGCAGCAACGTTGCTGATTCTGTGCCGGAGTAATTAAAAGTAAACATTTGATATTAACAATATATTTATAAAACGGCCCGATTGTTGTAATGTATATAGTGCACACGTCTCCAGCGCCCGAGGGTGTGGATTCGAACCCCGAAATGTTGTGTGATGAACTGAGGGATTTTTTTGTGTATGGTTTATTTAAATATGTATAATAAATTCTTATTTCCCAATGAAAGTATGTTTATCAGTTACTTAGTGCCCAAATTAAATCAGCAGTATAATACTTTACTTCTTACTTGTGGCTTTCTGGCGAAGTTGATAGAGTAATCTATACTACTATATTAATATTACTTTTGATTAGCATCAAAAATAACAAGAGGTCATCCGGTGACCTTTCCTTAGTTTCAACGGGAATAAACCTGAAATTTTAATAACTAAATTTTGATGAAGACATTCTACCGGCCTTTATAAAGAATTAAAAGCCTAACGACTTAACACGCGTAATGTAGAAAAAAGTTGTTAATCCTATCACCTAATGTAGTATGTGGTTTGTTATCTTAGCAAGCAACTTACGTGACGCAAGAATGTGAGAAAATGGTTTTTGCATATAAGAAATTTGAAAACTTCAAAAATTGTCGGTGCATAACACAGGGATTCGAACCCGCAACCTTCTTTCTGCATGTAATTATAAAATGATAAACGTGTTTTTTTTTTCTGTTTATTGAAAACTATTCATTTACCAATTTTCTCCCTTCAAATTGTAACGACCTATTAATAATAATAAATATTATTATTAATTAGTCATAATAAAGATCAATTAAGATGAAAATAAAACGTTTAAGAACGTTTAATCACAATAAAAGTTAATAATATATACTTAAATTAAAGAAATATAAGTGTTAGTATGAGAAAATGATAGTACCAAAAATTGATTAAAAATAGTTAAAAATCACTTAAAATACTCAAAAAAGGATATTTATTAAAAATATAGCAAGATACGGTCACTATTATGTCAATTAAATACAATTCCATACTTAGTGATTTCAAAGTGAAGTATTATGTACCGTGCGGGGACACAATTGTATGATCGTACATATATAAGTACAGAGGTCGATCGCGACTCTTAGTACTATAGTCAAAGTACATTGTATGAACGTCCCATACTAATATCATATGGAAGTAAGGTCTAATGGATAAAACTAATAATATGTGAAGGCTCAGAGAAAAAATAATGAATATATAAATATAATGAAGAGCAATGAATGACTTGGGACTTTATAAGACATATTACTATGGAGTTGCGTGGTACTTCTGTACGACGATATGGTCTACGGTAAACGTGGAACCATGAATGGATATGTCTTCAGTGGTGGACATGTCATCGATAGCTGGTGGTAGTTGGCGTCTTAGTGACCATCACTATGATACGTTGGCTGTCATTCGGCATAGTAAGAATTTGGTGGTAGTTGGCGTCTTAGTGTGTTGCACTATGATACGTCGACTGATCATCTGACTTTGGGGAGTCTGGTGGTGGCTTGCGTCTTAGTGTATTCCACTATTATACGTTGGCTATTACTTGGCTTGGGTGGGGGTCCGTTGGTGGTTGGCGTCTTAGTGCTTACGCTATGATACGTCGACTATCATTCGGATCGTGAAAGAGTATGTTTGGACACTTCGTGTGTTCCGAGTATATTCTAAACTTTGGAGCCGAAGTTGATTGGAGTTATATTGGTGTGGTGTGAGGGTGTGACACCTACGCGATAGTCACATTGATGCGTGCGGCTATATGCAGTAATGCGTCTTGTGGTATTTGCGGGGTGATCTGCGCCTAATATCATTGCATCGTATGATTCTGGTTGATGGAGGTTCGAGGTGATGATGTCTGCTGTGTATGCGGATAGGCTGTATGTTGGCGTGTTGACCTGCGATAGTTGTATTGATGCATGTTGCATTTAGTGACATTGCGTCTTACGACATTTGCTTGGGAGACGACGCTATTCATAATGGCCGAGTCTGCGTCTCGGTTTGATGCACATCTCAGTAGATTTGTCCAAGTCGGGTTCCTGATGACGGAACTGCAGACTGTCTGACCTCTTTATACGTTTTATCATTATTAACGAATCTCAGTAAAGTTCCCCACCGTTCTAACGAATAATGGCAACTTGCTGGTGGGTGAGACAAACTTGATCGAAAATACATTATACTCAACGTCAGAGACACTGACAAATAATTATATGTTGCCAATTATAAACCCTTCTGATGGCTAAACATAAAAATCACAACTATGGCTATATCTGACTATTTCAATGGTTGGTGGAGCATATGCGTTTACCTCATGTGGATGGTAGCTGGCGGGAGAAAACCTCTCAAGGCTGCGGCGATACCGTGCAACGTTTTAACCATACCCTTGGGGTGAGCAGTGACTCATAACGCGCTCTGCGACGAAATGTCGTGCTAACCTTTTTAATGGTGGTGATGCCAAAACAGTAACAATCACGTCTGCAGTCGCGGCGGTCTGGCAAAAGTGGTGGCGCTTACGGAGGGCTTATTATATCAGAGTGCCTGATCTTTAACACATGCCCAAAACCGTATTGACGTACATTCACAAAGACTGGATTTGTCGTCGGCTTGTATGACGTTTACACGCATTGACATGCGCGACTTCGGTCAAAGTTTGTGCTTACGCACTGCCAAGGGGCCAAGCCCTCTTTATGCTGGTAAAACAGCTTTGCAATGGACTTCGGTCCTTTCCCCAACTTTTTGTCCCTCTTCTGGGGGGGGGGGGGGGCGCGCTGTTTTTGCGCTGCGAGTGTTTTCATGGAGCCGTGTGCCCTACCGAATATGACGATCACAATAATATTTTATACGGTTAATTATTACCTTAAGAAAGA